AACATTAACCGCCACAGATTTGTACTTTTCAATTTCCCATGCCGTTTTTCTTTCAACTTTTAACTTTACACAGGACTGATAGCTAGTTATTGTTTTATTATATACATTATTTACTCAACTAATGTGACTCAAACGAGACTCAAGCACCTGGAAACATTTCCTAACCAAATTTGTTGTAACTCCACAGATATCAAACTGCAGAACGCGAACGCCATGAATTCGAAGCAGGAAAAGCGGAGGAACGTCTGGCCTACTTTGTTTCTCAGATGATTCGAATATTCGACGCTTACGTGCGAGAGGAAGATCTGGCTGGGGATCAGTGGAAGGACGAAGCCCGTTTGTCTCAACTGATTTCTCAGGTAAGATCCTTACCGGGTGAACTTCATCTGTCGTTTCCACTTTATTAGGAGAACCAGCTCCGAAAGTAACTAAGGAAAACAACTGTCAATGGAGTAACCGTTTTTTTAATGGAGACAGATTTAGTTGCTTGTTCTTCGCTTGCCCTTGACAGATGAGCTCTATTTTTAGCATTACTTTTTGGCCCGCCCAGTACTTTCCGCGTGAGCTTTATGAACAGCGTGTTTTCGGCTGCACCTGACACGCCTGTACGCGTCAGCGTTCAATGGGTCAGCTGATTCGCACGTTCATTGATTGGCTGTCTGGTTTAGCTAAGCACATCAGGCCATTTAAGCGGTTATCCTGACTCGGGTCCACAATATTAGCAAGGCATTAAACAAAATTGTGGTCCACAGCAGTACGTGAATCACAATATCTTGATATTTTCTTTTTGTCTGAAAGAAGCAAACTAGTCTGGTTGTGAAGGTGGGGGTAAATAACTGGCACATGCATTGAGCAAATATTGTCGACGGAAAGGCGTTGAAATAGTCGGTAAAACGGATGGATCAATAATCCGGAGTGACTTGATGAGTATTCATAGTGTCTGTGCGTTTCAATCTGTGTGAGCCGAAATCGGGACAATGTACAATGAAGATCATAGCTCTTGTGGGTTGATGTCGGCGTATCCGTAACGAGGTAATTGGTTTATGCAACGGGAACCACCATTAAGGAATGTGTCAAGCACCAGAAACTGCGTTGGTTCGGACATGTGTTGCGTATGCCGAACCATTGTTTTCCGAAGAAAGTGCTATTTTCCACGCCCAACTCCTCCTCATCGTCATCCTCATCACCGTCGGCTGCACAACACTGGTGTTCAAAACCGAGGTTCTGAAGCCGTACAACCATAATCCACTTGAAATCCTTAGTGTAAAGAAAAGGGCAAAAGTAGATTTGTAAAGGACTTGGTACTAGTGTACCTTTCATCGCCGACCGTATTGGGTGCGATTTGGGACCTTTGGCAAAGGGGATCATTCTAGTGTCTTTCGTAGGATATATAACAAAGTTCTGGTTGGATGGCAATGGCTACAGTCAAGAAGCACGTTTTGATTGATAGCAGAGAAACTCAATAAAATATCCAGTGACTACAATAGCATTTTGTGCGCTGGAACCTATCAAGCCGTCCCATTTAAACCGTTAGGAATAGCAGAGGAATCCGGTTATACTTGTTTTTTTAATTCGGAACCAGTTGGAACCAATTTAGATCAAAAGACTCAAAAGCAATGTACAGCTGTCTCAACCTTGTTGAGAACCATTTGGCAGTGCGTACCTGATGAAACTCAGAGAGTTTCGAATCCGGGACACTTGACCGTTTCGCCAGCTGATCAGCATTGTCATCAACTCGCACTTGGACAGGATAAGGCACCAATCGTTTCTCAATCACAGAAATACCAGAATTTGCTGAATTTCACTTTTTTTTACATCACAGGCTGCGGAAATAATAAGTGAAAACATGAAAAATCGCGGTCAAATACAAGAACTCTGTGACAGGATCAAACAACGTGATGTTCAAATCGCTGAACGAAATCGTGTTGTTTGATCGTTGGGCGAACAGTTGACCCGGACAATGGCAAGTGATCGAGAGGTTGAGACACTTGCGCAAGTGAGTACTGTTCACAGTTCCTGTGGGTGACTAAACTGTCCAATGTTCAGACATAAATGAACCTCTGTCTTTGGTTTCAAGGAACTCGAATGTAGCCGGGGAAAAGAACGGGCAACGGAAGACAGACTACACAAACTCACTGGAGACTTGATGGACGCCCAAGTCCGAGTTCGTGAGCTGGAACGACAACTGGCCCAAGCTGTACATGAGAAAGACCATGCAGCCACGGTCCGTCAAGGACTTACCGAAAGAGAATACATGGCTTTCAAGTAAGTTCACTCTTCGGTGA